GGTGGAGTGTTTGGGAGACTGTAAAAGTGAGTCATTTGGGATGGGCCTCTAAATTTGATAGCCTGGCCTGACTTCCTAACTTCTCTGCTTCCTGAGTGTGGATACAGTGTGACCATCTATCTACCTTTTGATCTTGCCTCCATGTCTTCTCTGCCATGATAGTTTGCAGCCCTGATAAAGCTGGACTACCAAGTAAACCCTTCCTCAAGTTTGTTATTATCAGATATTTGGTCCCATCAATGAGAAATGATTGAAGAACTTATATGATGTGGGATTTCTGTCTGTATCCTGTGATTACCATTGATTAATAAAGGAACTGCTTTGGGCCTGTAGCAGGGTAGAAGAGAGCTAGGCGGGGAAAACTAAACTGAATGCTGGGAGAAAAAAAGGTGGCGTTAGAGAGAAGCCAGGTAGCCCTGCCAGAGACATACGTTGGATTGAACTATGCTGGTGAGCCACAGCCACATGGTGATGTGCAGATTATTAGAAATGGGTTAAATTTAGATGTAAGAGCTAGCCCAAAAGAAGCTAGAGCTAATAGGCCAAGAAGTAATTTATTTAATATAGTTTCTGTGTGGTTATTTTGGGGCTGAGCAGCTGAGAACAAACAAGTGACCTCATACAACACTTACATAGACTTTCTCTTTTTATTTTTTCCTAAGAATGGGTATTTTAAATTGTTTTTAGTAACCTTTTACTCTCCTCATTTGTTTATATTTGTTTCCTGATCTTTTACTATGAAGTGTGTGTCTTCACACTTAGGAGTGTGTGTGTCTGTGTTAAGTATCAAGTTGATTAAGAAATTGAATTACACAAATATTGATGTATTGGGGTTCTTTATAGTGTCACTCATAGAAAATGAATCTCTAGTTATACATAAAAGGAATTTATTAGAATGACTTACAGACTACAGCCCAACTAATCCAGCAATGGTGCCTATGAACAGAAAATCCAAGAATCCAGTAGTTTCACAGTCTACAAGGCTGGATGTCTCAGCTGGTCTTCAGTATACACTGGAATATATAGTGTATATATAGCGCCTGAAGAAATAGGCACTAATGGACTTGCTAGCAAGAGCAAGGGTGAGTAGGCAAAGAGCAAAAGCTTCCTTCTTCCATGTCCTGATAATAGGCTTCCAGCAGAAGGTATGACCCAGATTAAAGGTAAATTTCTGGATAAAAGGCATTTCTACCCACTCCAAAGATCTGAATTAGAAGCGGATCTTTCTACCTCTAATTAAGCAAAGTTCCTTACAGCTGTGCCCTCCCCATTTTTTTGGTTTTAGCTAATTCCAGATATAGTCAAGATGACAACCAAGAATAACCATCAGAATTGGCTTGCATAGATCATACTCCTTTTCTCTTTCTTTCTTTCTTTCTTTCTTTCTTTCTTTCTTTCTTTCTTTCTTTCCTTCCTTCCTTCCTTCCTTCCTTCCTTCCTTCCTTCCTTCCTTCTTTTTCTTTTCTTTTTTTTTTTTTTTTTTTTTTTTTTTTTTAGACAGGGTTTCTCTGTAGCTTTGGTGCCTGTCCCAGAACTAGCTCTTGTAGACCAGGCTGGCCTCGAACTCACAGAGATTCACCTGCCTCTGCCTCCCGAGTGCTGGGATTAAAGGCGTGCGCCACCACCGTCCGGCTCATATTCTTATAAATAATTAGTTGTTTGATAAATACGACTCTGTTACAGAGTAAGACTATTGAGATGGTAATTGGGACATTTTTGGTTCCATTTTTCTATCAACTAAGTTTTTATTTTCAACAAATTTAATATATCTGGGACTTCTTTCTTTATATGTAAAATTGATGGTATAAAGTTTGGTTACTTTAGAAGATTTGATTCAGTCTATTTGGTAGCTGTTGTCCTTTAAGTCTAAAGGGTTACCTTTTTAGGAGATAGGTCAGTATTCTGTTAGTTATTGCATTCTGTGTCCTCATGTGCAAGAGGCTGGAAAGTTGTGCTTTTGTAACCGCTCCATCGGCATTTAACATATCACTCATTTCCCTTACTGTTGCTTTCTCAAATTAGGCTCAGACTAGACTTACAGTTCTGTCCTCAATTTCCAATCAGAATGTTCAAGGATAGTTTCACACTTTCATATTTTGGCATTTAATATCCCCTTTCCATATAGTTTTCCTTTCCCCAAACTACTTAGCCTTCCTTCTCATTTTGTTTGTGACAACTACATTGGCATTGTAAATACCTATCTGTATGCTGTGTTAAACTGTGTGGATGATAATCAGCTCCTTGAAGGACAGTGTAAAAATTTCATCATTTTATCACAGGGCTTAATTAATATTTATAGAAGTAAATTTAGATGATGGTTAATTAGAATTTCATGTACATATAATAGTAATGAACAGATGAAAAATGAGAGAATAAAGGAAATTACCGTAGTTGTTTTGACTTAGAAGTAATGTTTAAATATCTGAGATTACTTTACACATCTGCATTTCATGGTCCCTCCTGCACTCTCGTTCCTATCTACTGTCTATTTACTTTAGTGGCTTACTTACATAAGAACTGTCTTCTCCCTGCTACCCACTGAAGTACTTGTTTTCATTCAGGATTTTAGTTTATGACTATTATGGTTCTAAGCATTAGTAGTACCCTTTAGTTACACACACACACACACACACACACATGCATACACTTTTATATATTTGGTTTTATCATAGATTTATCAACTTTGATTTACTGTCTTGTATAGCCATATTTACATTTATTTTCCCTGGCTACCTTCATTTGGAGTTATCTTTAATTTTCTGCTGTGAAGTTGTTACTTCCTCCTACCTCTCTGTCCACTTCTTTGTCACTCCTTTTACCCCTCCACTTGTGTGTGTGTGTGTTTGTGTGTGTATGAGACAGTATCTGGCTTTGTAATTCTGAAACTCATTATGTAGGCCAGTCTGGCTTCAGACTTTTGATAGTCTTTCTACCTCTGCCTTCCAAATCTTGGTATTAAAGTAGGTGCCACTATACCAAGCTTGTTCACTCCTTGTTTCTTTGCTGTTTCAAAATAAGGTTCACATTTTGGCTTGCAAGATGGCTCAATAGGTAAAGGTACTTTGCTAGGAACCTAAGTTTAATCCTATGTAAAAGGGGAAGGGGAGAAATAACAGAGCTGTCTTCTGACTTCCACATTTATACTGTAGTACATGTGCACACACCTCAAACAAATGCACAAATAACATAAAAATGTACATTTATAAATGTTTTAGAATTAGCACAGTATTGGAGGTAAATGGTGGAGTTACTGACTCATCAAGAATGGGTTTGAGATAACTGTTGGATTAGTTGTTAGACCAGTTCTCTGAGTACTAGGAGAATGTGGTTAGTGATGATGGACGGTGGCTTTAGCCCATTGGTTAAACAAGTTGATGTTGATTATAAAACATTTGAGATGCTGTTGGAAGTTTTTATAAGATGGTTTATACTTGAATCATAGAATTTATTCACCAACCAACCAACCAACCCTGTATTGCATATGGGTTAATTGAACGGGTAGAGGTAGTTTTTTCTTTTTTGGATACAGCAGTTTCTCCACTCTTAAATTAATTATTGTTTTGTCCAAATGTAAGATTGAGTTGGTGTAGCATGATTAATAAGAAGTGGCATGAATAATAAAAACCCAGTGATAGATACTGGGGTTCAAGCTGAAAGATCAGAGAAACAAACCAGCCAACCTCTAGAGAGCTCTTTCCTCTAAGAAATCATCAGACTGGAAAGAGAGTGAGTTCTTGTCTTATCCCACTTTATATTCCTCACTAGTGCTGGGATTAAAAGTGTGCACCACCACTGCCTGGCCTCTCTGGCTAGCTAGTGTAGCTGCTGGGATTAAAGGTGTGTGCCACCACTGCTGGGCCTGTATGGCTGACTAGTGTGGCTATATTTGCACTCTGATCATCAGGCAAGCTCTATTTATTAAAACACAAATAAAATATCACTATAGATTTGACTGAGAAAACGAACATTAGGATAATAAGGTGATGATTTAAGAAACATAAAAGGTAAAGGCTGTACTGTTAAGGCCGCCTTTCCTGTGTCCCTTAGAGTAAGTAGTGCCTATTGAAGGATTCTTGAGGATGTGGTAGTAAAGAAGGGATGTGAGAAGGTAATGTGGACAAGAATCCAGGAGGAGATTTACTTGTTCTTAGTTTGTTCAGGTTTAAAAGTGTGGTTATTTTAGCCTTAATTTTACAGTGTAGCTCAACCTCTGTTAAAAGCTTACTGCATTGGCAGATAGTCGAGCAGAGATTGTTTCTATCATTACAGAGAGAGTAGCTCATACACAGACTGAGTGTAACTAGCTTTTTTCAGAAAGCATATGAATAATTTTGTTCACACAATATCTCATTAAGGGTACAAAGAAATGTAACATGTGGGCCTGCTTGTCGGGGTTTCTGTCTTCCCACAGGTCCCACAGCCGGCAGGCCCCAAAGAAAATCACACAGAGATCTCCATAAGTTATAAAACTGATTTGCCCTACTTATTAGCTTTTGTAGCTTGTATTAACCCATTATTCTTATCTATGTTAGCCACATGGCTCTGTACCTTTCTCAGTGGGGCAGCTCACATCTTGCTTCTTCGGTGGTCTGAGCAGAACTGGGAGGAATGGGCTTCCTCCTTTTTAGCATTCTCCTGTTCTAATTGTTCTGCCTCTACTTCCTGTCTGGTTGATCCACCTATACTTTTTGCCTGGCCAATCAGTGTTTATTTAAAACATAATTGACAGAATACAGACAATTCTCTCATACCAAAGGAAGATACACACACACACACACACACACACACACACACGGTTGTTATAGATTATTAAAGATTATCTATCTATCTATCTATCTATCTATCTATCTATCTATCTATCTTCTGAACTAGTGTCAGAATAGTATACAGACTGGAATGTTCAGTATTTCCTAGTATTTAATAGAAAACTGCATATTGTAAACTTTTGTTTAATATTGGGTTTAGGTAATAATAATTAGCTGTTTATTTTATTTTAACAGGTATCTTTCAGATGAAGGTATTGAAGCGTGTACAAGCTCTCCTGGCAAAGTTAATATAAATGACATCATCCTGATTGCTCTCAATGTAGGTTAAGTTTATTAACTTTTATTAGACCCTTTTTAAAATTAAAGCTGTTCCAATGAAAACTATATCATAAACTGTTACGATAAATAATATAGAGGAAATCTTTAATTGTTCACCTTTTTAAGTTATAGAGATGTATGTTGAATTTAATGACCTAATCTTAACCAGTTGTAAATATCAGAGTACAATGAGAAAGGAAAAGTTCATTAGTTGTAGAATCCATCATATTTTTTATCAGCTTTGTAATAGAAAGAACTGACGATTCTTTAAAACAGTTTTCCACTTAATTTGCATTAAAACTTTAGCTGTAGCCTTAATTTATTTAAAAAACTTGATTTGTTTATTTTATTTCAAGGATATGAGTGTTTTTGCTTGCCCGTATAAATGTCTGTGTCTGGTGTTCTGGGGAATCAAATGAGGTTGCCAGATCCTCAGATGGTTGTTAGCTACCATATGGGTACTGGTAACTCCACTGAGCCATCTCTCCACCTTCTCTCTCTCCTTCCTAGATGTTTCCTTTATGCTCTGATTGAAAAAAAAAATCTTCCTTTTTTCATCTATAGAGAAGTAAGAATATTAAGCAATGGCATAAAATCCTGCATGTAGTTTAATGTTCAAGTACTTGAATTGCTCAGAAAAAAATTAAGTGCAGTCTTAATTTATTGAGCACTATTGGTGTTTACTACTTTAACAACACAATATATTATCTCTCTTCAGATATGTATTCCATAGAAAGACCTTCTAGATTATCTTAAGGTTTTACTTCTGAAGAGGATACCATTTTTATATGGACTGTGTAGTCTTCTCTTTAGCAGAGATGCTGTGATATTAGTAACTAGTTTCTGTTTGAGTTTTGGGTGCAGTGGTTTGCTGAGTTACATGTATATCTGCATTTTTATAGTTAGCCGTTAATTTCCTTTTTTCTCTTTCTGTGATTGTACAAGCAGGGAAAATATTCCTGCTGCAAAGCTGCTGCTGCTTTGCCATCCCTGTGACACCGGTCCTTGCTGCTTCCTTTGCTTTGCTATATTATGAATGTCAGAGCTGTTGGAGTAATTGGTTTTCATGTCTTTGAATATTAAGGTTATATAGGATTTAGTTGTTGTAACATACGGTGTTATTGTAGTTCAAAGCTGTCATTTGGTCTTTGGATTACGACATTAATTTTCAATAAGATCATAATGGATGTAATTTGTTAGAGATTTTGACTAAGAAGAAATGCCTCTCTCTCTTCCTGTTTGCTTTATTGGTACACTAAACAATACAACCATTGGCTAAATAATTTGAAAATAGTGACTGCATACATTTTACAGTTAGTTAAAGATGAAGATGTTTACTTAATGTTTGTTCTTAAGACTGAATTTAGAGATATTTTTGTAATGAGATATTTTTCTATAATTCTATTTTAATAATGGAATGTTTATTTTAGACAGACTTGAGAACAATTGGCAAGAAGTTCCTTCCCAGTGACATCAACGGTGGAAAGGTGGAAAAGGTAAAGAAGGCTGCCTCTCGAGCTGTGCTGGTTTCCGCAGGACATGGAATGTGCACTGAGTTACTAGACAGAGAGCCTGGGACGTCACAGTTATAATGCTGTTTTGCTTCATATATAGAACACTATTAAAAGTAGAATTCTGGTGAATTTTAAATTTTAAAAATTTAAAAACATTTTTAAATGAATTATATATAAATAAATTTATATTTAAAATCAATTATAAATACGTAGTATTAACTTGGCATGTAATGCTCATCCTGTTGTTAAAGTGCGGGACAAGTCCCCTTGTCTTTGTTTATGTTTTAGATTCCTTCATAAGTGGTCACTGGTTTACTCAGTCTGTTTAGGAACATAAAAGTGTAAGACGATTAGGACTTCAGCAGTTTGGCAAAGATGCATGTTCGGTTGCTCTTTTTATTGTGTTTTTTACATAGAGGCGTTCTTACCAATTTATTCAGCTGTCTCATTTTTTAATACGGAAATACCCTTTAAAGATAATCAGGTACAGACGATATTTCCTGCACATTTCTCTTTAGTTTTTTAAATTTTATAATGTATATTGTTATAGTAAAGAAATTAAAATTGCTGCTGGTAATGTTTTGAACTTTTAGTCTAATTTCTTAGCTGCAGAGGGAGTGGAGAGCATGTGGTTACTTGTCCTGCAGGTAGTTCTGTGTGGATTGTCATTGCCACACCTTTCCTTCTGTTTACCTGGGAACTTCTGCTTAGTGTTAGTTTTTAGTGTTGTTTTCTAATGTGTTTTATAGACTCCTCTGCGATTTGTTTACATTTCACTTTTGACTACAAAAATAGTTGTTTTCAGATGTAGTTTCCTACTGGGTTCCCCTTGGTCCCCAAACTATCCTTATTCCTACCTGAGTTTCCAGCCTGAATGTTGAACCTGGTCATTTGCATTTTTTTCCTTTAAGAGGATGTTGGCCTTACTGTCCCAGAAACATCCTTAGAAAACCGCTGCATTATAACTGCAGATTGGGCAGCAATGGTGGCCTGCCCTGATGAGTATAGTAATTACACAAGTGTGCATGCACAACTATATACTAGTTTTATTAAGAAAATGAGAGCTAGCCGGGTGGTGGTGGCATATGCCTTTAGTCCCAGCACTCGGGAGGGAGATGCAGGCGGATCTCTGAGTTTGAGGCTGGCCTGGTCTACAGTGGGAGTCCCAGGACAGCCAGGGCTACACAGAGAGAGCCTGTCTCGAAAAAAACAAAAGGAAAGGAAGGAAGGAAAGAAAGAAGAAAGAAAGTGAGCTTACTATAATACTGCTTTTCCATTGTCTCTGTCCTTAAGGCTCAGAGCCCGCACTGCCTTGAGCTCACCGGTAGATGGAGGCATTCTTTGTTTTAACCGTTTTCTCAGCACAGTTTTGCTCTTCAAACTGCAGTATTTTGTAAACGTTTCCTTTGAAGGCAATTGATAACAATTAACAAAAATTTGCAACCTGAAATCTTTGTGATACGTATTATCACTTAAAACATCCTTAAATGTGATGCTAGTTTATATATAGAATGAATAGATAAAAGACTCCCTTTTCATATGTAATAGAAATTGCTAGATTATTCTTTTTCTGTTCTTCCTTATTGGCTACATTTTCCCCCTACTAGCTGCTGTTGATGAGATTTAATGCCTCTCACTGCAGGAATGAAAATGTTTTCAAACAGCTTTAATAGAAAATTTTAAAAGCTGATACACAGATTGTACTCATTTTGTTGGCCATTAGTTAGAACTCCACACACTGTATTTGAATACAGTTATATTTAGGCTAAATATTCAAGGGGTATATATTTGATATGAATTAAAGATCAGTAGAACTCACATGCTTTATTTGTACTTTCATTAGAAAGATTTACTACCTAGCATTCCATCCTGTTAATAAGGCCTGGTTGTTAGAAAGACATGATTGTAGAATTATCTTTCATTAATTTGCATATGTTACAGTTCTAGTTTAAAATAAGCTTTATCTTAATCTGTAAATATGCTATAGGGAAATGCTATTTTAATTATTAATCTGCCTATCTTTTACTTTGCTGTGCTAATTATGGAAAGTATACTTAAATATGATGCTAATTGATATATAGGATGAATAGATAAAAATAATCCCTTTCAAATGAAATAGAAACTGCTAGATCCTTCTTTTGTTTTGTTTTGTTCTTTTCTCAAAGCCACAGTTTCCCCTTCCTCTCCTCTTTCCAGTCTTTTCCCTGCATATCCCCTCTACCCCAGATCCACTTCTCCTGTTTCCTTTCAGAAAAGGGCAGGCATATTAAGTTGCAGTAAGACTAAGCACATCCCCTTGTATTAAGGCTAAATGAGGCAGTGCAGTAGGAGGAAGCAGAAGAGTCAGAGACACCCCCACACCCACTGTTAGGCATGCCATAAGAACATCAAGCTATTCAACCATTATAAATATGCAGAGTGCCTAGGTCAGTCTCATGCACACTCCCTGATTGGTGGTTCAGTCCCTGTAGTTTCCTGTGGGCCCTGATTCTATGGGTTTTCTTGTGGCGTCCTTGACCTCTCTGGCTCCTATAATCTTTCCTCCCCCCTTCCACAGGATTCCCTAAGCTCTGCCTAATGTTGGTCTGTGCCTCTCTGTATCTGCTTACATCAGTTGTTGGATGCAGCCTCCCTGATAATGATTATGTTACTCTCTGATCTACAAGTATAGCAGAGTAGCTAGATAATTCTTTTTCTGTAGCGTGATTAATAAAAGCTCAGAGACAGATATTGGGGTTCAACCTGAAGACCAGAAAAGCAAAACAGCTAGCTACTGACTTTACCTTGATGTTAGTCTGAAAATGGTGAACCTGCCTCCAGGAAATCTCAGAATGCAACTCAGTCTGAGTGTTGTCTCCTCTCATTTCATAATCCTCTCTAGTTCTGGGATTAAGGACATGCTCCACTACTGCCCAGTTTCTTTGGCAAGCTAGTGTGGCTGCTGGGATTAAAGGTGTGTGACGTCACTGCCTGTGGCTGTTTTACTCTCTCATCTTCAGCCACTACATTTTCATTGCTTATATTTTTTCTTTGACTGGCTGCTTCTGACATGCCATGTAATTGATGGATTTTGGTAGAAAATAATATTTTCTAGTTTTCATTTTGTATTAGGAAAGGAAGAAAGAATAGTAAGAGATGTGAGCAGAAGAAAGGAGATTGAGAGAGAAACAGAGAGTAACCTAGATTTCATAGTTAGCTCCCAGACATAGCAGATTCTGACTAACATTAAAAAGCAAGTGTATAGTACATGTGTTAAGAGGCAGGGGAATCACGTTTCATATTAGGTATGGAGGGGGATGATGTATTAGGAACCAGTAACAGATTAGGAAGATACGAGGACAACCACTGGCCTTACCCAAACCCTATTTCTCTAGATTATTAAATTTTGTGATTTTTGGCAAGTTATTTAATCTTTATGTTCGTATCGTTAAGATGATATTCCCTCATGCCATTGAAGAGATAAGTGATGTTGCACATGAAGTGTTCAGTGCAGCACAGTGCACATGGTGGCTTTGACATACTATGGGCCATTCAGGATGGCATGTTTGTTTCAGAACTCTAACAGTGCATACGTGCTGATTGCCTCTGCTCGGTTACTGCGGGCTCCAAGAGCATTCACTGAGAAGCAAGCAAATGGACTCATTTTTGTTGTCTGGATTCAGTCCCAAACCTCCTTCAGCCAGGCTAATCATTGAGGTAGGATCAAAGGTGGCCTGAAGCTGCTCTGACTGATTCTATTGAATTTCTAGCCTGTCTGTGATACTCCCATTTCAAAGAGAGAAAGTCATTTGAAGATTGGGGTACGTTTCCCCAAGTATTTAGAAGCAAGGGAGGTGTGGGGACCATCATCTTTGTAGGAGCATCTCCCATTTGCCTTGCGTGGTTCTTTTAAAAGCCTCCCCTCGGCGTCCTCCTGCCCCTTTGGAAGTTATTCACCAGTCAGAGGCTCATCGTAGTGCAGTGTTCTGGAGCTTTTCAGGAAGATCAGCAATTCTCTTGGGAGGTAGATGAGCTGAGTCTAAATTTTATCTCCCAAAAGGCTGAAGTCTGTATCGTTGCTGTTATGATTAGTGAGACCAAGATAACATGATTTTCATGATTTGGCAATTTCAGATTAGGAATAAAGTGGAGAGCTAGTAGATTTGGAATCAGGTAAGAAAGGTAGGTTTGCAGTTAGATTTACACATGGAACTGGTTTACTCTGAATTTACAATCCAAGATGTCTTGGGCCTTCAGAAAGACACTGTCATCTGGATTTTTCAACTGAAGTCTTAGTCATTGCTATTATCACTGATTAATTTGGGAGAAAATAGAATTGCAAAAATTGAAATGAACTTTATTACTAATTAATATAGCATTTCCCCCTGAGGGTCTTTCTCCTCTAATTCCTCTCTGAGACATTATTTTGAAATTTCAGTGTACTCTGGATAGTGTTTGAGCATGACTTAGCTTTCAAGCAGAGACTTGAAACGTGGTGAAGGGGTGGACAGAGATTTTCCTGCAGGCTTTGCAGTCCAGGCCACAGGCTCTAATAGTTCTTCTTTTTCTTCCCTAGGCCCTAAGTTGGAGGCGGTGTATGTTTCCCTCTCCGTCTGTCTGTCTGTCTGTCTGTCTGTCTGTCTGTCTGTCTCTCTCTCTCTCTCTCTCTCTGTGTGTGTGTGTGTGAGAGAGAGAGAGAGAGAGAGAGAGAGAGAGAGAGAGAGAGAGAGAGAGAGAGAGAGAGAGAGAGAGAGAGAGAGAGAGAGAGAGAGAGAGGTGGTGGTATATGTTCTATCTCACACAACTTCTTTTCTGAGCTTTTTTGGGGTAGACTTTGTGACCCGAAGTCTTGGGACAGCTAGTAAGCTAGCAGCACACAAATTGGAGACCATCGGAAATAATCATAATGTAAATGCAGTAAAATTATTTATTGTTTTTCTCTGTTTAATTTTAAAATTTTATTATTTTCATAGCAAGTTTAAAACAAGGTGTGAATGGTAAAT